CTTGGGGCGTCTCGGGGGCCTCTTGGGGGCCTCTTGGGGCCTTTTTGGGGCCTCCTGGGCGCCTTCTGGGGCGGAGGGCTCGATTTTTCAGTTCTCGGTTCCCCTCTTGAGCCCCTCTTGGGCCCGTCTTGGGGCCTCTTGGTCCGTCTTGGGCGGCACTTGGGCCGTCTTGGGGGCCCTCCTGGGCCGTTCCGGGGCCGTCTTGGGAGCCTCGTGGGCCGTCTTGGAGCGGTCTTGGGGGCCTCTTGGGCCGTCTTGGAGCGTCCGGAAGCCGAAAAAGCCAGAACACAAAAAACATCGAAAAAACAAATGAAAATCAACGATTTTGGCCTCTTGGGGCTCTCTTCGGAGGCCTCTTGGAAGGCTCTTGGGGCGTCTTGGAGGCCTCTTGGGCTGTCTTGGGGGCCTTTTGGGCCGTCTTGGGGTCATCTTCGGCGTCTTCGAGCGCTCTTTGGGCGTCTCGGGGGCCTCTTGGGCAGTCTTGGGGGCCTCTTGGGGCACTCTTGGCGCGCTCAGGGCGGCCTGAGAGGCCGCACCCAGAAGGAAAACCATCTCTGAGTTGAACCGGGCGGGACCTTGCCAGGCGGCGGGCGGGGTACTTTTCGCCGGGGGACCCCCAGGGGCCGCCCCGCGCGCGCGAACTAGTACAATACAATTGTTAACCAGTTACCGGAGATCTTAGCACGCCTCTGGCCCGTTGGGCCGGCGAATTTCATTACGTTCCTGGCCCCCCCGCTGGGCCGCGCACATGCCGCCGGTCATGAGTTGCACCCCCCCTCTTGGACACCCCCCTCTTGGCCGCTCCCGATCCCAGCAGAGCTGAAGCTCAGAGGCTGCAGCTCAGGCTCTCTGGAACTCACACGCCGGCATATTACTTTAGAGATCTCGTCCAGAATGTGCAGTCTCATCTCATCATTCCGCGGTGCACCCGCGTCGACCTCGCATGCGCCCAGTGCGCGAGTCCGACCAACTCATACCACGCCGACCACGCGCGCGCCGCCATGCGCGCGTGTCGAAAGATATCCCAAGGTCCCAAACCACTGGTGTTCGAAGCTTTTCAAGACAGCTCTTCAACAATATATGAACAACATAAAAGGTTGTTCAACATAACGTCTCCCAGTTTTCTTGCATTTCCGCGCGCGCACTTCCTCTTCAAACCCCTCATCAGCGCCACCTCATCACCGCCGTTATCGTCATCGCCAATCGCCGCAGTTTCCGCCGTCATCGGCCAATCACTTTCATAACCGACACATAGACATCATCATGGTCGGTGTCGTCACCAGCATCGGCGCCGTCATTGACTTTGCCGTCGTCATCGAGGTTATCACCACCGACCTCGTTACTACCATCATCGTTGCAGCCGTTGGCGACGTCATCGTGATACCGCGCCCGCCCGCCGAGTCACCTACCCGCACAGAAGTGCCCGCGCGCCAACGCGGCCTGGGAGACGCGCTGGGGAGTTCCATCGGTAAGCGCCATCGCGGCCGCGTCGGTTGTGCCAAACCAGCTGGGCGCTCTGCGTGCGAGTTTGCGCGCGCCAGCGCAACCGTAGAGATGAGGCAGTCAGCGCCAAGCAGTCACCGCAATCGCGGCCGCATGGGTTGTGCAGAGCAAGTCTCGGTTTGGAGGGTGAGGTGATTGCATGAGCAGTGAAGCTGACGACTTTAAATTCTTCATGGTGGATTGCAGTGCACCCCAGTGTATTGTATCACACAGACTGCACGCGACTGCGCCTCAGAGTTTGCACCACGAACCCGTAGTTTGTTCAATATAGATTGCGCTCTGATATGCGTGTACATCATGTATGTTTGCATCCCATACATTGATTGCGCAGCATGCGTTGCACCATTTCTATGGCGCCGCATATATGGCACCATGGACGCTGTAAGTAGATGTTGTGCCATACGCAGCTTGCTTAAAGCGTATTGCACATCGAGGGTACGCTGGCCCACTGTCATGTGGCCGCGCTGGAAACATGTATTCTACACAAGTTTGTCTTGCCGAGCGCATCGAACGTAACCAGCCATGTAACACGGATTTGCAAGAACACGTGATGGGGCCGATATATGGTTTCTTGGTGAGTTCTAGGTTTGGTATATGCCTTGCGACTTGGATTCAGCAACGACGGGGAATCCCCCCAAAGCGAGCCTGCTTGAATTGTGGATCCTTTTTCCGGTTTCAAATAACTGCCCTGACTCCGGATCCGCCCTACTTTGGGGAAATTCGTAAGTGGGGCTTGGAATTTCCGCCTTACTTTTCAAGCCCCGCTGATGCCAATTTCCGCTCTACTTTTCTGTTGTTGTTTCCGCCCTACTTCTGTGGATTTTCGCCCCGTTTTATGTTGGGTGCAGCAGTTTCCGCCCTACTTTTTCGGCTCCTTATAGGTGGATTTCCGACGCAATCTTAAGTTGGAAAAAAGCCAAAAAAGTAGGGCGGATCCGGAGTCAGGGTGGTGCATGGTCAGCTGATGCCTGTGGGCGTCTCGTGGGCGTCCCCCTTGCGCTGGGCGGGTGCGCCGAGGCCTCCGCTGCTATGGTCGGTTGCCGCCCGCGGGGAGACCGTGGGCGCCCCCTGCGCGCGGGGGTTGGTCCTGCGACGCTTCGCGCCGGGCGCCTGTTGGGTTGCCTCCCGTGGGCGCCTCGTGGGGGCCTCGTGCCACGGTTGGGGGAGCGTAAGACCCGGGTTTGCCAGGACTCGGGTTCGCCATCGTTTTGTGACGACCGCGGCTCGGATTTTGACGGGTAGGAGTTTCGTGGGATGTCTGCAGCGGGAGGCCTCGTCAAAGTGCAGGCTCGGCCTCGTCACGGGGCCTCGTGCCACGGGTGGGTGTCCCTGACTCCGGATCCGCCCTACAATGGCTTTTTTCCAACTTGAAGTTGCGTCGGAAATCCTTCTAGAAGGGGCCGAAGAAGTAGGGCGGAAATTGCTGCACCCAGCATCAAAAAGAGGGCGGAAATCCACAGAAACAGCAGCAGAAAAGTAGGGCGGAAATTGGCATCAGCGGGGCTTGAAAAGTAATGCGGAAATTCCAAGCCCCACTTACGAATTTCCCCAAAGTAGGGCGGATCCGGAGTCAGGGCGGGTGGGTGTGCCGAGGTTTCGTGTGGTGCCCAGTCGGTTGCCCTTTGTGGGCGCTTCGCGGGCGCCCCGTGCGTTCGTTGCGTGGCTGCGCTGCAAGCTCGCCTGGCGTCCCCACGGGTGCCCCCCCGTGGGCCGTGGGTGTCTCGTTGGCGCCCCGTGCGTTGGGTGGTTTTTTTCGGTGTTCCGCCTGGTGCCTGGTCGGTTCTTGCCCGTCTCGTGGGCGCCCCGTTCGCTGGGTGGGTGTTCCGATGTTCCGCCTGGTGCCCAGTCGATTGCCGCCCGCGGGCGCCCCTTGCGCTGGGTGGGTGGGCGCCTGGTGCCTGGTCGGTTGTCGCCCATGGGCGCCTCCTGAGCGCCCCGTGCGCTGGGTGGGTGTGCCGAAGTTTCGTTCCCGGTCGGCTGACGCTCGCCAGCGCCTCGTGGGTGCCTCCTTCGCTGGGTGGGTGTGCCGTGGTATTCCCCCTTTGTCTCGTCGGTTGCCACCCGCGGGCGCCTCGTGGGCGTCCCGTTCGTTGTGGCGGCGTGCCGCGGTTCCGTGTGGTGGCCGTGCCAGCTCTGTGGGCGTCTCGTGCGCTGGGTGGGGGTGCCGCCCGCGGGCGCCCCATGGGCGCCCCGTAGCATGCTGGGTGGATTTACCGAAGTCTCGCCTGGTGTCCCGCCGGTTGCCGCTCATACCAGCCTCATGCGGGCCCCGCGCGGTGCGTTGAGTGGGCGTGCCGAGGTTTCGCCTGGGGCCCACGCGGCTGCCGCCCCGCGGGCGCCTCGTGGGCGCCCCGAGCGCTGGTGAGGCGTGTGGAGGTTTCGCTCTGTTCCCCGGTCGGTGGCCCCCGTGCGGCGCTTCGCGGGCGCCCGGATGCGCTGGGAGGGCGTGCGGAGATTCCGCCGGGTGCCCCGTTGGTTGCCGCCTCGTGGGCGGCCGCCCGTGGCCACCTCGTGGGCGGCCGCCTCGTGGGCGGCCGCCTCGTGGGCGGCCGCCTCGTGGGCGGCCGCCCGTGGCCACCTCGTGGGCGGCCGCCCGTTGGTTGCCGCCTCGTGGGCGGCCGCCTCGTGGGCGGCGCCTCGTGGGCGCCCGCTCGCACCACACAGCCTGGACTGCACGGTGTTCAGCCTGCACTCGCATGTAGCAAGCATCGGCATCGGCTAATTCACACCGTGCAGTTTGCATTATGTAGCCTGCACCGTCGCCATGCAGTTTGCACCTCGTAGCCCTGCACCGCACAGAATGGACCACGTACCTTTCTCATCCACGGTCCAACACATCCCTGTTTGGTGTCCGCGCTGGCAAATATGTGTTGCTTGTGGCTCTCGATGACAAGATCCCTTCCTTTAAATTTACGTTTCGCACCGCCCACGTCTGCATCATGTAGTGGGGATGGTGGTCATGACATGTGTTCGGGGTATTCCAAGCGCACCGCCCACGTCTGCATCATGTAGTGGGGATGGTGGTCATGACATGTGTTCGGGGTATTCCAAGCGGCGTGCTCCAACTCCCCCCATCCTCCGAAGTTCGTTTGGCTCAGGCAGCCGCTGCTCGGCCAGCCATTCCGAGCGCACGCTGCGCGCCATGTGCGGCTGATGGCACTGTCGCGCCTGGGCGACGACCTCGAGCGCGCGCTGGCCAGGCTGGAGACGCCTGCCTGCACGCCCGGCGCCGCGCCCCGCGAGACGAGCACGTCGGCCGGGACGTCGGCCTCGGCGGCGCCCCGCCCGGACCACGGGCACGGCAGGGCCACCGTCCTCGGGGGGGTGCAGGCCTGGTCGATGAGGAGGAGGAGGAGGAGGAGGAGGAGGAGGAGGAGGAGGAGGAGGAGGAGGAGGAGGAGGAGGAGGAGGGCGCGTTCGACGGACCCTCAGGCCGCCAGGAACCAGGAGGAAGAGGAGGATGGAGCAGGATGAGGAGCAGGAGGAGGAGGGTGCAGGACGCGGCCGCGGGCTGCAGCCCCACGGCGAGCGGCCCTCCGCCGGCGCCCGCCACGGGGAAGGCGCCCGCGGTGTCGGCCGTCCTGCCGCGCCGCTGCTCTGGGGGGGTCGCCCGCGCGGGCGCGAAGAGCATCGCGCCTCGTGTGCGCGGCAGTGCGCGGTGCGCGAGCCGGTGGCTGGCTGGCTGCTGTCGCCGCCTTCCTCGCCCTCGGCATCGCTCGGACGTGTGCATGTTTCCTTCGGCGAGGACCATCGAGGAGCATCCTTGATCATTTGGCGAAGAAACCACGCACGAAACCGAAAAAAGCACAGGGAAGGGACGTCCGAGCGACGGCCAGCGCCCGTCGTCGCCGCTGCCGCCGTCGCCGGTGGCCAGCCGGCTGGCCTGGGCCAGGAACTCCCAGCCCAGGCTTCGGGCCCCCCTCCGCGGGTGCGCGCGGGGCCGCCCCAGGAGCATCATTTCTGGAAGTCAGAGGAGGAAGACATACCAATGCACCGATGCTGCCATATGTGGAGCTACCCTGCCCTCGTTGCGACGGCAGGATTCGACTCGAAGGCCTTGTCCGAGCGCACCCCTGGAGAGTATTGGGCAGCAGCGCTATCGGTGTCCTCTTTGGGAGAGCCACATGGTCCCGATACCGCTACTCGGGGCACGTCCTGACCAGGGGTCTCCTGGGCTACGCTCCGACCAGGCTTCCGAGGCGAACCTGGCAGCGGCGACGAGGGCCTCCCATGGGAGGCCCGCAGAGGCGCAGCGGAGCGTAGCGGCATGGGTGCCTGTTCCTTCTCCGGCTCCTTCTCCGCCCGCCTCCCCCGCCCCACCGCCACCGAGAGGCTCCCGCAGCGCAGGGCGACGCCGCCCGCCGCGCGCGGGGCGGCGAGCGCGGCGCCGGCGGGGCGCTTGGGCCGCCCCGCTTCCGCCTGGCGGGCTGCCTCCGCCCCGCGGGGCCGGGCTGGTGCCGCGGCGCGGCCGCCGCGAAGCCGGCAGCGCCGGGGCCCGGTACGGTGGTCAGCGTACGCGCAGAGGGGGGTGCGGGGAGGGGGGAGGGCTTCTTAGAAGCACCCCTGCTTCTAGAAGGCGCGGGCCTTATCTATAGATGTAAGGCCGGCGCCTTCTAAGAAGCAGCCTGCTTCTAAGAAGCCCTCCCCCCTCCCCCCACGCCCTTGTGCGCGCCGCCAAGGTGGGGGCGCTCGCCAAGGATAGCGCGCATGAGGCCTAAGGCCCTGGAGGGATTCTGATCTGGCGAGGGCGGCGGTGGTAGCCATGGCCAAAAGTCGGGGGTGGACAGAACCCCCAACAGTGACACGTCGACTAGTGAATTGTCCGTTTTCGGTTCTCGAGAGGGCGCCGTGGCCGTCATTTTCCAGGCTTGCGCCCGCCAGGTTTGGGCCTCAGGCCATTCTCACTAAACCACGTTTTACTAAAGGGGGGTCTGTCCATCCCCGAAAAAGCCGCGATAGGATTCAGAGGAGGAAAAGGTACCCAATACCGCTTTCGATTCCAGGCAAAACCAAGTCATGCCACGAGCACCCTCGTCAAGCGGCCTAGCCAGTACAGGCCGTAGTTTGGCATCGCTTGGTATCTCTTGGAAGCGAGGGTGGTCAAAAGCGAGGTAGGTTTGTTTGCCCCCTATAAGGCCCTGGAGGGTCTCTGCTCTGGCGAGGGCGGCGGTGGTAGCCATGGCCAGAAGCCGCGATGGGATTCAGAGGAGGGAAAGGTACCCAATACCGCTACCCCATCGCCCCTTTTTCCCTTCTGTTGGGCCTCCTGAAAGAGGCACTCGTCGCCAACGCTGGATTCGCCTTGCAATTCTTGGCAGAGCGCACCCCGGGAGAGGCCCGGGGAGTAGCGGTATCGGTACCTTTTGGTTTCCCCAGTGGGGGCGTTCGCTAAGGACAGCGCGCATCAGGCTTCAGGCCCTGGAGGGTTTCTTCTCTGACGAGGGCGGCGGTGATAGCCATGGCCAAAAACCGCGATAGGATGCCCACCGGCTTCCAGACCCTGGATTCCTTGTCCAGTGGTTCCGCATCCGATGCTTTCACCGTATCGCTTCTAGCCTATCCTCATCCCCGCCAGGCCATTGCATCTCAACCTTAAGCGGGTCCTTTTGGAAGCGCATCTGGACATGAATAATACACTTCTTTACACTTTACTTGTAGAGGTTACTGAAGACCGCTAATGGAAAGTAAAGGTTGCTCCAGGCCGCGACACGCCACTAAAGGTTACTAAAAGACCACTAAAGGCCACCAGCGGCCATTAATAATACACTGGAGGCTGCTAAAGGCTATTAGAGGCTACCAAACCGATGCGGCACATCTTAGAATGAGCTTCCAAAACGACTCACCTCATCAGCCCCAGCATCCCAGCCCCCCTGCTGGGGATAGGAACCTCGAACCCCGAGGGGAACAGCCTGTAACCCCCAGCTTGGGGGGCATCGGCCAGCGGGGCCAAGGCCATGCCAGCGGGGACGGGGATTACCCGAGCTGTGCTCAGGGGCGGAGGTCGGCGGAGGAGAGGCGGCGGCCCGCGCCTGCTGGGATAGCAGCTGATGCGATATCCCCAGGTCGGGGGGTTCTTGGGGGGGGCGGTATCTCAAGGTGGGGTAAGGGGGTAAGGGAGCGAGCCCGGCTGGATTCTCGCATCTGTCCATCCTCCAGGAGCCGCTATTGGCGATCTGCTGCCCAGCCCCACTTCGGCCCCACCCCACGCTGAGGTCCCCTGGACCAGGAGTCGGAGGGTGTCTTGCCTGCCCCGGTTTCGCTTCCAGGCAAAATCATGTCGCACCATGCGCCTCGTCAGGCGGCCCAACCGCTGCAGACCATCACACGCGAAGCCTGGTATCGTTTGGTTCCCGTCTGGAAGCGAGGGCGGTCAAAAGCGAGGTAGCTTCGCTTGCTTCTCAAGGAAGACGTTTCGCTCTTGGAGCCGGCTGGGGGTCTGAGGTGCCCCAGCATTGGCTCCGACCAGCAGGACGAGAGAGAGGGCGGTGTTCGAGGCTCTGGATTCGCGGAGTTTGGTTTTGCTTGTTGTCGGTCTCTGGTGGCTGCTTTCGCAGGGGCCGTCAAACACGGATCCGGGTGGAAGATTTCCACCCGACGCACCGGGGGAGGAGTTTGGGGCCCGATTTTTGGCGGATTTGCTAGAGTTGCCTTTGTTGCTGCTTTTGAAACATGTTTTCGAGGCCCATCCAGCTCAGACCCCGTGGCCACCTCCAATTTCATTCTAGACAGACAAGTATAATTACATGGCATGTCCTCCTACCCCACTCCGCCACGCACCTCTTCCGCCGCCTTTCCAAGCGGCGCTGCGCCGAAAAGGAGTGCAGGCGAGAACTGGCTTGCGCAACGCCCAGATTTACTTTCGATCAGGGCTGGACCTAAACGGTGTTTCTGGTGATTTCGGGGGCCGTTTCCGTTTCGACTCCGTTTTGCAGCAGCGGCGGATTGGAGACAGAAGCGAGGGACAGCGAACACAGAACGAGGACGAGACACACCGTTTAGGTTCAGCCCTGCTTTCGAGCCTCGCCACGCCCCCCCCCTCGCCCACCCTCCGCGCAAGTAAGAGTTGCTGGGGTCTACAGAGCAGACCTTCCTCCAGGTCTCCGAAGATGAGAGTTGCTTTTCATCCCATCGGTCTCCATCGATTCAGGAGGGGAAAAAACACAGAGAGACACAATTAATCTTCGATTCCCCAGAACATATGGGAACATATGGGAAGTGGGGGGGAAGACAAACACCCAGAAAATATGGGGAAATATGGGGAATCCTGTTATTTGTGTATTTATTTGTGTGTCCCAGGGCCCCTTCAGAGTTGCTTTTCATTCCATCGGGCTCCAGCGATGGCGGCCTCTGGGGCCCGCCGTCGGGCCTCAGAGTCCCGCGAAGCGGATCTGGAACGAGAAATTTACCATCGGGGAGGGGTCAGAAGGGGAAAAATACACACAGACACAAGTCATCGTCGATTCCCAAGAACAGATGGAAACATATAGGAAGCGGGGGGGAAGACGAGAAGCCAGAGGATGTGGGAAACTACGGGATGTGTGTCCGTGGCCTGCGTGTCCCAGGGCCCCTTGGAAGGGGGCGGGGGCCCTGGGGCCGCTGATGCTAAGAAGCACGTCGTCGGATGCCGCTGGGTCTGGCGGCGCGCGCAGCAGGGCAGCGCGAGGGGGGTGGCCCTCCAGGAAGCGGGGGGGGGGCTCGTGAGAGGAAGCCGCGGGCTCGTGAGTGGCGGGAGGACCTCTCGGAAGCCGGAGGGCCTCTCAGGCCCTTGCGGCAAGGGCCTGAGAAGCTCCCCGGCTGAGAATCGATTGCGGAGGCAAGCGTTTGTCGAGTGGCGGATTCGTTCTCGAGGGAGCTGAAACACCACGCTCTGCTGCCTTCTGTGGACGAGGTTCCGAGGCCCCTGAGGGGCTCTGGAAAACCCCTCCCCAAACCCCCCCCCTTTGGGAAACCTCCGGGAGAAGCTCTCCCGCCTTCTTCGTCCGCCGCCCCCCCTGCGCCAGCCCCACGTGTGCAGCGCCACCGGGGGGCCGCGGCCTGCTGCGGGGCGAGGCGGCTCGTCGTCCGCACAGCAGAGGGGGGGCCTGGACCTCTGGCGGATCATGCGTTTGGTGTTGTCCTCCCAGACTCGATCACCGCGAGGGCAGTTTCGAGCCCCGCGGGGCCGCCGACCGGCGATGAAGGACAAGGATCTCCACAAGTCGACCTGCGGGGATGGGGCCAGGCAGATAGATGCCGAGGTCATCCCATGCAGCCCCAGAGAAATCGACGTACATCATCGTATTCCCATCGTCATCTGGACAACTCGTGGGGGCGTTGAGCCCTTGGCGAAGCACAGTCGTTCAGACCCCTAGTTTGAACAAGTCTGGGCGAATCGCGGACCCGCAAACGTACGTGAGCTACCCGCGAAAGAACTACAGTAGGCACGGCAAATAAGAAACGGGCCTGACAGCTTGTGCCCCATGGACGTGTCTGATCCCACCGATGGCCCTGGAGGCCCATGAAAACCTTGGGTCGCCTCAGGAAGCGCAAGGCTCGACGCCGAACGTGCCCTTTGATGTTTCGCAGTGAGACTTATTATCAGATCATCCTACTGCAAGCACAAGAAGGGGATACTGTCCCGGCACTGCGAGCAAACGAAATCGAAAACGGAAACGAACGCAGGCGAGACAATTACAGGTTACGAAAACGAAAACGAATGCCCGCTGGAAAGTTATCGGAGTTAAAAAAATCTCAAGCAGCACATTGCGACCTTCGGGAATTCCAATCGGGAGCAAGGAAAGAGATGACGCGTTTGCGCTGCCCGTGCTTAGGGGGGGCGAGCCGCAGCGCTTTCGTATTCAATTTGGAACTCGAATGGCGCGGGCTAAAGCAACGCTGAGAAAACGAATGGGGAAACGAACGTTTCTGGCGAGTTGTATATTTGAAACCAACGAAATATAATGGCCGCCCGACAGTTGATACAATAGTTCCCCAAAAAATAGCGAAAACGAGTTCTATACAGAAATTATCAACCAGTTTCGTGATACTTTCATCACTGTCACCACCAAGCCGTCAGTGGTCTGGCGGCTCTTGCAAGGACCCGCGGGCTGCGGGAGGCTCCAGTGCAATTCAAGGCGGCGCGCGCCAGGCACAAGTCCGCGCGTGTCCTCCTCTCGGGCGACGGCGGCGGACCGCCGCACCCCTCCTGCCCAGTCCGATCCTGGGCCTGGCTGGCATCGGCGCACGTGCCGCCATGGCCTGACCAAAAACGCCTAG